GTAGGTGTAGTAGTGGTATCAATAGTGACTGGATTCTATGAGTTGACCGCAACTCCAGTAAAACATCAGTCCAGTGCTGTCACCTGCTGGTGTGTTACTGTATTGCATGCATGTCTCAGGGCTTTATCTTCCTGTGGTCAGAACCTGTAAAGTGATTTCTTTACAAGTAAGTGTGAGTTTGTTGAGGTGTTAAAGTATCTCCAGTATCTACAGGGGCACTTATCCATGAGGTCTATATCTTATCAGCTTAATTAAACATTATATATTTCCTGAAAATGAGTCAGGCCAAGCAAAGTTTTCTGGTACCACAGGAATGAATGAACAGAAATGTTTAATGCCAGCGAGAATAAAACCTGTGTGGATCATTACTGGCCAGTAGAGTTGTAAGGCATTAAGAGTAAATAACAAAGTACTTTATAAAGGGTCTCTATTTAAAAATGGGAAATAATTGTTTTTATTTCAGCTTAATATAAAATGCAAATGAAAAATAAAGTTACAGTATGAACATCAGGCAACATATCAGGTTTTAAACTAGTGGATGAAAACAAGTGCATTACTGAACTTTGGTAGAGTTTGAAGCTTTAGAGTTTACCTGGAGTATTTCTATTGTGATACTTCATAGGTGCCCCGCTGCATTTCAAAGGGCAGTGATAGAAGATGTATTCAGATCATTTATTTGAATTCAAGTACTAATACAAAAGTAACAGGTAGTAGCCTATGTCTTGCAATCAAAATCCTACCTAAGTAGTTGAAAGTGCAGTCAGTGAGTCCCATCAGATTTCATCATGTACCAGTTTTAACTTCTTGTCCACACTCCATTTTTCACCAGGACCAGCATCCAGGGGCCCCTCCTCTGACCCCATCAGAACCTTCACTGTGTCACATGTGTCCAGATCTCCAGCTTCTCTCTTCACCTCCTTCACCACCAGCATCTGGACTCCATCGGGGGGGTTATCCTGTGCTGCTCATGGAACGACTATCCCCTCTAAATGATGGCGTCACAATGACAACAACATCATATATGTTCACTTTTGAGGACTCTATATGAAAAACACAAGTCTATCAACTTTGACTTTAAACAAATATTTACAGGTTAAAATAAATGAAAAAAAAGAACACAACATATTTGTAATATCTGAAACAGCAGCAGATCCAGGATTATTTTCAATCAGGGGCCACGATTTACACAGAGGAGCCAATTATATGTCCAGCATCCATGTAGGACCCTTTGCTCTATAGCTTTGATTCACAACCACACAAAGTTGATTATATTTAGAAGATTGCTCCTTGTTCAGCCACAAACATGAAGCAAAAAAAAAAAGGGCAGTAGAAATATGTAAGGTAATATTTAAGAAAAGTACAAGTACTGGAAAGTCAAGCTAAAATACTTGAGTTGAGTACCATCAGAGGGAAATAGTGAATTATTTTACTCCACTCCACATTTATCTGACTGATACAGTTCCATCCAAATTCCTTTAGTTAATCACCCAATAAACCAACAATACATGATGCAGTCAAAGTGCTGGACAACAAGAAAACAAACAGTTACTCGAAGACAGACCTATTTCCTCAGGCTATTCATTCCAGAGTCTTATTTGGGCCATAAGACTTTAAAGCAACCAATACAATAAAAAAAAAAAAATCAATCCTAAAACTAACTGTGAGACTGTAAAAACGATCAGACAGGTGGAGGAGCAAATCAAGACTCCCTCCTCAGCAATGTCAGTGACTCATCACGTGACTCATCACGTGACTCACCAGTCAAGTTTAACAATCTTTAATCACAGTTAGTAGCTTCCAGGGGCAAATACTTTTTCACATATAGGTTTTGAATAACTTTAGTTTTTTTTTTACTGGCATTTCTACCTTTACTTAAGTCAAATATCCCCAAACTTCTCTCACACTAGACTTCTCTCTGAAATAGCATCACATTCAAGACTGTGCTGCTGGAGTGTGAAGTGCTGGCGGGACTGACAACAACCAAACATTACACCGACAGGCCTCAGAGAACTTAATCCCTGTCTCCTTTGTCACCACAGCGCTGAGTAGTGTCATGTTCAGTTGACCCAGGGCAGTCATTGATGTGTGTGTGTGTGTGTGTGTGTGTGTGTGTGTGTTTGTGCGTCCTGGCTGTGAACTGTACAGGTAATGGAAAGACACATTAGGTGTGAGGTGGAAACTGAAGCCTCCGAGACGAGATGGACAGAGCGATTGTGACACCCCGGACTCACATGTCGATGAGCTCGGAGTGATTCTCCTGGAGATTTCTGAGCAGCAACAGTGCGGTTAC